TGTTGATGAACCTATCGATCTCAACATAACAACCGAGCCAATACTCGATTGGTTAATAGTATAAAACTAGACATAAGAACTTTTTGTTGAACTTGGTGACAGTGTGCTGTCGGTGATGGAGTGTTATGGATAGAGTGATAGGTGATGGATTCCACTAAGCTATTTGTGTTACGCAAGTATAGCTTCAAGTAATTTTTTCCAAATTATCATAGGATTTTTGGATTTGCATTGAATCAAATCAATAACAACTTTAATGGTTGTATTCATGTGTATTACTCAAAAGAAAATTCCTTTTGATTTTTGTGTACACTTATGCCGTTTATTTCTTATAATTAAATATATTTTGTATTACAAGATCTTGTTTTGTACTAAAGTGCTTTATATTGCATTTAAAATTCTTGTGTGTACAAAAATTATGCTTATATACTTTCTTAAAAAAAATAACCTATAAAGATATAGTTAGCTTTTTATATTTACAAAAATCAATTTAAAAAAGTGTAGAAAAACATATTGAAGTTTTTCTATCTTTTTATGCTGAAGATGAAAATATTTATACTGTAAAGACATATATGTGATTCATTGACGAAATGACTCAATTCTATTGAAGATCAAATGTAAATAATACATTTTCAGCATAAACAATTTTTTCTTCCATTTTCATATATCATCATGATATGTGAATTTTGCAATTAATTCAAAGTCATATGTAATAAATGAGCTCAAATAAACAATCTATCATAATTAAATTGTATATGCGATCAACAAGATGTTATTTTTTCCAATATTAATAGATCATGAACATTGAAATGTTGCATTCATTTATACATCACAATCTATGTTTACATGTTTTAATTTTTATTTGTAATAGTGACAAATATTCAAAATATAGATTTTCTGAAAAAATAAATTAAATTTGCATATACAATACACATACCAATATCTTACACTAATACAAGAGAAGTGCTTCAAAATCTGTTACATATAAAATCTGTTACTCTTTTCATGAAATATTTGAAAAGTGTCACAAAATAAGATTCATTATTAAAAAAATTTTATCATTAAAGTTTGCATATAAAAATTTCAAATTTTCAAAATGAAATAACGGATTAAAATTATTTTTTAAAAACTTTTTTCAATTGAATTATTTCTTGTAAAATCTAACATAATTGGTTAACTTACTGTAGATGTAATGAAAATCATGTCAATAATTTTTTACTTACTTTCTTTCAAACTGTTTTTCATATATAATAATTTTATCTGAAATCAATAATGCTAGTGTTGTTGATAGTTATATAATCAATCATAGGTAACTTTTTTACAACATCTGATTACAGGTTACAATACATGAATCGATGACTTTCAAAGATAAAAAAAAATCATTTAAAAGATACATAAAACATAAAACATGAAATTTTTTTTCAAATCATATATTACAGTGAATATATTAAATATTTTGAATGCTTAAGATTGTATCCGTCTCTATCTAGATACTTAAATACTAAATTTTACCATATTTATCTTAATATTTCATTAAAAAAATCTAGTTATAAGATATTTTTTGTTCAATATAATATGAATGAACTAGGATATATTTTTTATATATTTAAATATTAAAAATATATTTTGCATTCAAAATCACAAAAATATATTTTGATGTTATTTGCAATAATCTAGAAAAAAGTTTATATTGAGATTTAGAGACATTTGATTAATTTTTTCGAATTATTTCAATCCATGTGATATGTTTATTTATATGATTTAATTATGATTGTCCCAAGATACAGAATCATCACATTTATGATAATACATTTTTTCATATTTGAATATATATTATGAATCAGAATCGTGTTGATGTTCACATGAAAATTATTTAACAAGATGTACCTTTTGACTTGAGCACAACAATGCGTGATGTATTACACTGCAAATGATGTTGAAATAGATTAAAGATTCTAAATTATATTTTACCACATTTTTTATCTGTTAGATTTTTATTGCTTATCTAATTGTTTGATTTTCTCAAAATATTAATCATTACAAAAACTTTAAAATTTAATTTGAAATCTTTCAGTTTTAATTTTTTTTTCTAATCTATAAATATTTTGAAGGTATTTTTTGAAGTATTCTAAAATAAAATACCTGGTTCAATAAAAAAATTAGTTGATTCATATTTATCATATGAATCAATTTGATAACCATCTAGAAAATTAGATGATGCATCTTTGATGATTCAAAAAATTTGAACACTTGTGCAACAAAGATTGTCTTAGATAGAGTGAAATTTACAATCATTTTTAGTTAGATTTTACTCAAGATAGAAATATAATTGAATGTATAACGGTCATGTTAGAGATCCATGTATTTTGTAAATAAATAATTGTAGCAGTTAGTAGAGACATTAAGCAATACGAGTGTTCATTAAATATATCCGTCATGTCATCAATTCACTAAAAATGTATTACATGCATGTTTGAGAAAAAACAACGTTGAATTTTTACCAAATCATTCTATGACATGGATTTAGTATTAACAAAGTTTATCATATATGCATACACTATATGGAGTTTTCTTTTTCGTTCTTTCTTCGTGTTAAATGTGAAAATTTAACACGGAGTGAACTTTGTTTAAGGTAGACCTTTGCTAAATAACTACGTTGGTACAGAGAGAAGTTTTTTAGAACTGCAATTATTCATTCTCCTACACGGGTTACAATAACCCGGTTGATGATGATCTGATTCATGATTACCTAAAGTCAGTGTATTTGTTACACTAACTTTGAAACTATTTAGATATATGAGCTTAGGAAATCAAATTTAACACGTTTGTGAAAGAAAGAAAAATTCTTATAAATTGAAGACGAGAGGTTCAAATATTCTTTAGCGTATCATTAAATTCATTGCAGTATCCTTTACTCATTAGAAAACACTTACAATTGCAATCGAAGTAGTTTCTTATTCTTCTTATCTTCGTATGTGGTGTGTATAATGTTTGACAGAGAGAAATAATCGATTCATCTTAAATACGTTCATATATATATATATATATAATTTTTTTTTAAATTTTTTTTTTTGATTGTGTTTCAATGGTGCCCTTGCACCACACTACCCTTTCGGTGTCATACTGTACAACTTGACGGGGTCTTCCCGTGGCTTTTGCTTACATAACTGTTCTCGGTACGATGATTTAATTAAGAGATGGTCAATGCAAAGGCCTTCTTTCCGTTGCAAGATGACCTGAGTTGGCGACAGCCTACGGCATGGAAGAGTCGGTTCGAGTGCCTCTGCTACCTGTCCCTTGCATGCATGGCTCGAAGCGTGATTAGTTGATTCCATGGCCGTCCAAAGGTCCAGGAAGTCGAGACAAACCTGGATCCACCCGTCGAGCGCAATCTGGTCGGGACTGTCAGCAGTGGCGACCATGGTGCAAAAGGTCTCCGACACATGTAGGCTCTGCGTAGCGCACCTGTCGGCTTCCCTGTCCTGCTAAACTTGGCCACTTCCGAGAGATTGGATGCTTCGGCGGCGGCGGAGTCTTGTCCGTCGAAATCGAGTCGAAGGGCCTCGCCATTCAGGTTCGGTAGGATCTCGAAGCGAGCGCTCCGAGTCTCAGAGTATGACTGACTGACAGACTGACGGCCAAAAGGTGGGAGCAGATGAGGCAGATGATCGTCGACCAACCTTCTTTTGAGACACTTTGAGAGACTTACGTGCCCGATCGGGAGGATTCAACGAACGAAGGCCAAAAGTTGACCACCGATGGACATGACGACGGCCCTGATCTCGAAAAGCTCTGCGTTTCTTCTTCTCTGCTGCTGACTTCATTCGGGGCGAAATGTACAATTGACTTGCGACAGCAGGACGACGTGTACACGCCCCTCGTTGTAACGTCTGCTTATCCTTTTGGCGGATCTGGAACAGGAACTCTGAATTCTAGCTCTCTACGCATTAGCCTCCCAAAGCCCAATGGACGTAAGAACTGAACAGCAACAACGATGGGAAGCCCCCGCACGATATCGAAGGATCAACAGGTGGCCAGGCCCCAATATATCACGACGGAAATATGTTTTGCAAAAAGTAGCATCAACGAAATCCGATCCACAGTACTCCGAGAAACGTCTAGAACCTATAAAGCTTCCAAATAATAAATCATCACCTGTGGATTGCCTAATTCATACTCTCCACATAAACATGGATACAAGTGGTTTTATGTTGTAGAATTGTCTAAAGACGTATACTCTCTCGCACTCTCATCTGATAGTGAAATATATGCCGATAGCTCCACATATCTGGAAGAACAAAAGGGTCACATTTCTGCATGCCCCAAATGATTGGATAATGACGTTCCACTCTTTATCCTTCTTCACCGCTGTTCAACCTGTCACACTTAGGATTTGTAACGTGAACGTCCGTGACAATAATGTGGTTGTACCGAACCAAGTATGAATTTGCATAAATTAATAGCAATATGCGCTAAGTAGTCAGATTGGTCTTTGATTGCTGTGTAATTTAGTGTGCATTATTTGGGCGAGCAGAAGTCGATCGTGGCACTTTGGTGCATCACCCCCAGCCTAGGAGAGAAAGAAAGACAGGGATGATAGGGACATCTAAGGAGTAGATGGCTAAATCCTGGAGGGTGGCCCACATCTGGCGAAATGAAACACCTTGCTCGAAAGGGCTCGTTTTGTAAACGTCGTCAAATCTAAAGAAGGGTGATGGAACTCAGCCACAAAATTTTTCCGGCTTTCTTTTGCCCGTGCGCTGAAGCTGTCGAGCACTTTATCGCCATGGTAGTGTACGTGGTGAATTTGAGGGCAGCTTCTCATGTTCACAGGGGTGAAATTCTGTGGACCTGCAGTGCAGATGAGAGATTTCAGCCGACCGAGGAGAATATTGAAGGAAGAGCGCATTCCGATTGACTCCCGTGTTGTCTTAGGCGAGCCTGAGCTCCGAGGACCTATATAGCCGCCGGTGGGAGTTGTAGGTAGAGAGGGAGGTGGAAAAACTGCGACCAGAATATGTCTTTGAATTTCGGAAAGATGTGGGAGATTGGTGCATGCCATTGAGCAGATGTCGCAGCCTTTTCTCCGCGTGTGTATGTCTGAAAGCTCGCTCGTTGACTCACTTCGTTGAATCCAATCGTGAATTCATGACAGTGATGTTCGCGACAGAACCTACTATTCACAACAGACTTCGCGCCGTCGAAAATGCTCCCTAGTGGTAACGATGGAACTCTAGATTTCTCCCCAATTCGAGCTCGTAGATCCAGGAAGATACCGTGCAGGAAGCTGATGCAAGAGTAGATTACCTGCGGGTTTGCTGTTTCATATGGATCTCGAGGCGAGGCGAGGCGAGGTGAGATGATGCGAACTGACTGGCCCCACAGAACTGTTGGAGTTTATTGAATTCCTGAATTCATTTTCTAGCAGCTGCAGAACTTTTTCTGAGGCTATTATATCTGAAGTGGAACAAGCGACAGAGCATTGCAATTGCAAGCATTTCAAGCAGACCACTCTATCCTGGAGACGACAGAGTGCCGCAGGATCTGCGAAGAGGTTCCTGCCAGAGCTTCGTCTTCAGTAAGATTGAAATCTTATTCTGGAGATTTTGGTCCGCTTAATAATCGCTCAGCACGATCATTTGAGGCCGAGGAGGCCGGAATTCGAAGATGAAGTTTTGGAGGGAGAGTTCAAGTTTGGCTCCAGTCGATTCTGCTGGAGACGAGACTGCTCTCGAACGGTACACGCAGAATGATACCGTGGATTGCGAAGGAAGGCCCGCAAACAAGGCAACGACTGGAGGATGGAGATGTACTCCTTTCATCTTCGGTACGTGGCGTCTTTCAATTTTGTTTTCGCAGAACTAAGAATTCTAGGACGTCTTTGAAGCATTTGTTTCATGAGTGACGCTGAACTTCGCGAGGAGACATGGATTTCATCGACGGGTGAGGGTCTAATGAGAGGATTATGGATTAAACAGATTGGGATCAAGGGTGTCGCATTTTCCTTTGGGCGTTTTCTGAATAAATTTGCAGCTTTCATCGACTCCCCGACTAGCTTCCGATTTTATGAAAATCTTGTCGAACAATGTACGATGTCTTTAAGTACATTTCGAATTGCAGACACGAAAGAAATCAGTCCTCTTTTCTTGAGACTAATCGTTGTGTTTCCATGTGGTCCCCCATCTCGTTTTACTCTGGCATCATATAGACTGGTAGAGTTATTTAGAGTCCCTCATCGTAATCGAGGTTCACCATCACAGAGCGCCAAGGCAGTCAGCCTGAGAGATTTACGTCCGACAAGGCTGCAGATTAAACTCCCTTGCTCTTCATGGAATTAGACAATTTGCCGTATCCTTCCACTGGACATCATAGCAGAATTTACTGAGAATCTGCAGAGATTGAATAGCACTCTAGACCCATTTTGGACGTCTCCCAAGGCTGCAGATTATACTCCCTTGCTCTTCATGGAATTAGATAAATTGCCAAATCCTTCCACTGGACATCATAGCAGAATTTACCGAGAATCTGCAGAGATTTAATAGCATTCTAGACCAATTTTGGACGTCTCCCAAGGCTGCAGATTATACTCCCTTGCTCTTCATGGAATTATACAAATTGCCAAATCCTTCCACTGGACATCATAGCAGAAATTACCGAGAATCTGCAGAGATTTAATAGCACTCTAGACCAATTTTGTACGTCTCCCAAGGCTGCAGATTATACTCCCTTGCTCTTCATGGAATTATACAAATTGCCAAATCCTTCCACTGGACATCATAGCAGAAATTACCGAGAATCTGCAGAGATTTAATAGCACTTTAGACCAATTTTGTACGCCTCCCGTTTGTCCTGCATTGTAGGGAGTAGGTACTTTGGTCTCCGATTCAGCACGTGTTTTTGAATTCAGCTGAGCGAATGTCATCCTCTACAATTTCATCTTGCGAGATATCAAACATTTCTTGGATGAACTTCGGGAAGGAAGGAAGAGAGAGAGAGAGAAAAAGAAGTGACGTTGAGGAGCAGAACTCCAGGGGGCGGTATCAGAAGGTGCTAGAGATTATCGATGCTCGCGAGGATAAAATGTCAACCACGTTCGCTAGATTGCAGAGAGAAACGAAGAGCTTAATTACGAATTGTGGAATTGACTGTGAGCTAAGATAACGTAACATCGTGAATTGCAGGTGCCGAATTTGCGGAAAAGACTGCAGCATTCGGAGCGCAGTTCAACATGGTGAATTACTTGGTCGGAGTAAAGTTTCTCGCGAAGGCCTATTCCGCCAACATGGTCACAAATTATCTCGGAACTGGGTACCTGATGACATTGGTCGGTGGAATCGTAGCAGACTCCTTCCTGGGTCGCTTCTGGACCATATTTGCGGCTGGCACAATACAAATGATGGTACGTTTTCTAAAAGTACATTCGGCCCTGAAAGCTTCGATTCCTGCAAGGGGAATTCGAAACCCGAATCCAGATGTCATGTCTGCATGCACACAGCGTAGCGACAAGGAGAACAGTCCACTGTTCTTACTTATGCTGTACATAATTGTGGTACGAAGTGGTCAAAGCCCAGTGATAAATTCTCACGACCACTGAATTGTGTGGTCCAAGGATATGCCTTCTGATGAGCAACGTTTTTCTGATAAGACTACTCTAGAGACTCCTTGCGATCTGTGAATGGGCATGCCGATCGTAGAGCTGAGCAAAATCTTTGAACTTTGTCGAAGGACCGGGACACACTTCCTGTTAATCTGGACGTGTCATACTTTTCTGGACAATACCACCCACGGGAATGAATATTCCTCCATCCATGATTACGAGCCTTGAAACAATATGCAGAAGCTGCAACTTCTACTAGGCCTCGAGTCCAACTCAGAATCTATTGCATGCAATTTTCTTTGGTGTCAAAAACTTGTTCTTGTCCTGGCCTTGGAAGGGACTCAGAGTCAGGTGCTCGACACCGTCCTCTTAGAGATGGCTGTCAGACTGCTGATGGCCGAGCAGAATGGCGTGGGGCTTAGAACTAGATTGACTGGGAATCCTTTTCTCGTTGGCGCATTTTCGAAAGAGAACATGCAGTCACGAAGAGGACGAGGTGGAAAAATTCGTTGTCATCTTGGTCTTGTTCTGACCAAAACGAGGAAAACTTTGTTGTGTGTGCATGATTGTGGGGCAGGGCTTCGTGGTTTTGATGCTTACAGCATTTCTACCATCTTTGAACAATCAATACTGCGAGGACGATCTGAAGAAAGACTGCCGGGCTGCACATGGATCGAGCTTGTCAACCATCTACGTGGGCCTTTACCTCATAGCGATCGGGACTGGGGGCATCAAAGCTTGTGTATCAGCATTCGGAGCAGATCAATTCGATTCCGAGGACCCCAGGGAGGCGAAAAGTCTGCCTCATTACTTCAATGTGTTCTTCGGCTCCGTTGAGATGGGCTCACTGTTCGCCTCGACTCTCATGATATGGATTCAAGAGTACAAGGGCTGGAAATGGGGCTATGCCATATTGGCCATAGTCATGGGTGCAGCTCTTGTCCTGCTCGTAAGTGCACGGAGGCTCTTCAGGTACAGAGTTCCCAGAGGCAGTCCATTCACTCCCGTGGCCAGAGTCTTCATCACAGCTCTGAGAAACCGCAAGCTCCCCACTCCAACGGACCAGAGCCATCTGTACACTGGACCCGAAGAGAAAGCACCGCAAGGAGTTATTCGGACGAGCAACTTAAAGTGAGTTCAATCAGGCTCATGGAATTTGCATATTAACGCCATAATTTCCATATCATTTGCACAACGTGTCCTATCCCATCGACCTACGCAGATTGTTTATCTCAGTCGAGCATTGTGCTTATCACTTAAAACTGCACGAGCAGATCGTCAGTGAACAAGAAATCCATGAAATCCAAGAAATCCATGTTCAATGTTTACTTGGCAAGGTGCTGATTCTGATGAGCAGTATAAGTACCCTAGAATTCTCTCTCACTGGGCGGTTGAATTGTAGGGATTCCGAGATTGTGCTGGCCAAATTGGCTGCGGATTTGATTGAAATTATGCATGATTAAGCTCATCGAGGATTGTGGGAAATTTCAGGTTTTTGGAGAAGGCTGCGGTACTGAGGGAGGGAGAAGTGGCAACCGGGGAGGAGCCGAATCCTTGGAGAGTGGCGAATTTGCAGGATGTGGAGGACACGAAAATGCTGCTACGGCTGCTGCCGATACTCTTCTCGTCCTTCTTCTACTGGACCTGCTCCGTGCAGTTCAGCACATTCACGGTGTACCAAGTGGCAACGATGGATCGGCGACTGGGGACGATGGTCGTGCCCTCGGGAACGGTGGGAGGAGTGTTTCTGACAGTGAGCATCCTCCTCACAATCATCTTCTACGACAGAGTCATCATGCGCCTCATCAAACGCTTCACGGGGAATGGACAAGGCATCTCGCCGCTGAGGAAGATCGGCATCGGGGTCATCACTCCAGCCTTCGCCATGATGACAGCTGCTCTGATCGAGATGAAGCGGCTGCGCGTGGTGCAGGACGAGCACGCCGAGGACAGCCCGGCCACCCCTCTGCCCATGTCCATGTTCTGGCTGGTGCCGCAGTACCTGATCATCGGCTCGGGGCAAGCATTCATTTACGTGGGCTCTCTCGAATTCTTCTACAACGAGAGTCCGCGAACGATGCAGTCCCTGGGGACAGCGCTGGTGTCGTGCACCATGTCCATCGGCGTGTTCACGAGCAGTGCCATCGTTTCCACCGTCAACAGGGCCACCAGACACAACCATGACGGCCAATGGCTCGGGAACAATCTGAATCGGAGTCATCTGGATCGATTCTACTGGGTTCTCGGAGGTCTGAGCCTGATCAACGTGATGTTCTTCCTGTTGGCCGCTTGGTGGCACGAGTCCGTGACGAGGGCCTTTTCTTCTTCCGCCGTCGCTGCCGATCCCGATGCCAGTCCGCCATCGGCAGCACCATCTGCCCACCAGGCGTAGCTGAGAATCGCGGCTCTGGCAGCTCGGGTGCCTGCCTGCGGCTTGAAGCCTGCAGAAGAGCCCTCTTGGGGCCACCATAGCTGAGATCATGCGATGTGAAGGACATCGCTCGCGTTCGGAAGATAGCCCCAGAGGTGATTTGAATCAGGCGGATCAGAATGATGGCTCCTGCCGCCGCCGCTGCCAGTTTCGAGACTCGAGATCATTCTGAGAGCCTTCTGACGGCCGAGACCACGACAGATTCCGCTCTGCCGAAGGTACAGAAACGATTATTCTTGGCCTTCGTGCTTCCAGAACATCTTCATCTGTTCCGGTCGAACAGATGAAAGATGAAGATGTTCTGAAGCCGGAGGCAGAAGATAGAGCAATTCTGCGAAATGCCAGAATTCCATCACCGAGCTCCATCGATCACAGGTACAACTTATTAGAGTGTCAGAACGATCAAGTGGTCATCGTAGTCCGAGCTTCGGTTTGTAGACCGAGAATATCATCAACCTCGACTGCTTCACGTTCAAAGCAATTGTCCCTTTTCTCGATGTCTTTTTTGTGCGCACCTCCTGATGGACCTGATGTCATAGCCTCAAGAAGTTTATCTCGTCATGCCCCCGAGGAACGAGAGAACTACCTCCATAGCCACCACGAGTGGTGGCGACCGTCGCATCTGTTCTCATGGTCATGATTCGGTAACTGGACGTGCAATTTTATCCACCGCATGATCATGTGCCGAATGTATCCAAGAATCGTTTTCGCCCCGTGCCGCATCCCATCAAAGCAGTAACGAAGTGCCCTCGTCCGAGAGGACGCATCTTCCAATCACGTTGCATGCAAACACTGAGGCCTAGAAACATTCCGCACACCGATGACGAAGATCGGACAGGTATGAGTCCAGAACGGAAGGTGTGTTCGGAGAATGATTTCTCATCGATGATTCCTGATCTTAATTTCAACTGGCCCGGGCCTTTTCTCACCTGCAGCGTGTAGTCAGCCATATCTAGCAGTAGAAATCGGCAGCCAGAGTTTAGCAGTCGAATAAGGAAACTCAGGCGATGGGAAGTAGCCAGAACTGAGCACTGGAGGGCAGTTCAAGGGATCCCCTGGCCTGTGATGGCAGGGGAGTCGATCGATCACCCTTCGAGTTGAACCGATGTTGGCACAGAAGGTCCTCCATATCCACATGCATGCACCGCGGTAAAGCTGCTGCTGCAGCAGCAGCAGAGCCAGACAGATTTGCGTTTCCATGCTGCAGGGGCCTCGAGTCAGGTTCGAGACTCGTGCAACTTTTATCCTGCGGCTATGCAACAAATGTCGCGGAGAGTAGTGGATTGGATGATGTGTGCTGCAAGATAAGCTGCGAGTGCATCACGTCAGAATGTATCCCGTAATCTTTTGGAAAAGCGTGAATTGCAATTTGTCGCTTCGCATGTGCGGCTGCCACTGCCTGCATACACCAACCAGCTCACCAGCCTGGAAGCAGAGAGAGAGAGAGAGAGAGAGAGAGAGAGAGAGAGTCTGAGAATCCTCTGCCCGACTTGAAGCAAGCCTGATTTGGACTTTGCTGCAGTGATCCAGGACTTCACGGAGCTTGAAATCTGCTCGGTCCTCGGAAGCGATGCACGATTCGGCTGAAGATGGCTGCGAAATGATAGAATTATGGAGCTTGTGGCGAGAAAAGCTTAATCAATTCAGCGCAGAGAGAGAATCCCGAATGTGTTGTCGAATGCAGAAGCTCCTCCGAGGGTGGAAAGCCACGGAATCAACAGACACATTCCAGCAAGGGCAATACGGACCCGGATCTTGTGGGCTGGTGATCCGAAGAGCACGACGGGTGCCATATCTGCGCAAAGGACAAGGGGCGGGAGGCGAAGAAGAGCAGGATTTCAGCGCACGACGTGGTGCGGGAGGCCCGGGGGACGGGGCCTAATGATGGACGACGACAACGCCGCAACCGGAGTTCACCAGCCAGCGCCAGATGCAACAGATTACGATCAATCGATCGATCGCCTCGCGCAGTGCTCACGGTCGTCGCCAATTAAAGGGCGCATAAAATAATCACCAACCGCGAAGCAACAGCGGGAAGGAGTCCAGGTTCGCACGTCGTCGGGTTCGATGGCTGCGATGGGCAGCATCGGCGGGCCCGAGGCCAGCGAGTGGATGCACACACAGCAGCAGAAGCAGCAGCAGCAGCAGCAGGCGCAGGCGCAGTCGATCGGCTCGTCGCTGTCGTCGTTTGAGCTCAGAGGCCGACCGGATTGACGGGTGGGCTAAGGCGATGGGGGGTCATGCTCGAAGCTCGACGCTCGCTCCGCGGCCTCCTGATGGTGCCATGAGTAGCTGGCGCGGACGGAGGACGAGTGGCACTGCTCAGGGAGATCGAGCCACCAGGGATCTGGTGCCAATCGACGAGAGTGCGGAGCAGTCCTGGTCCCCTGGAGTTAAAGGCGTGCACTACGTGCAGGTTCCTGGTGGGGATTTCTGTCACTTCATCAGATGGACGTTCCCATAAATGATCTGCTCTTCCATTCAGCGTCATCTCGAAGAGGTGCCATGGCCACTGAAGTAGTCGATGTGTGTATCAGCAACTGCACTCAATACGGTGGCCGATTCCTGTGCAAGCTGTGCGTGGATCGGATCGTTGCGCTCGCTCTCAACAAGAAGCCCCTCCACGAGCTCGAGAACAAAGTGCGCTTTCTGCAGGCTTACGAGCCCGGCCCTCTCAGCGAATCGTTCCGCGGCGATGTCAGCTTCGTCGGATGCGATCTGGAGCCCGTCTTCGCTCATCGTTTCATTATGGTGATCACTGCTCCTGCTCCTCGTTTCGCTCGCATTGTTTGAAAATTGGCTTCTGTTTGATGAAGTCTCTGGGTCGTGAGAACATTCCGGATGTCTGAATCTGGAGCCTCACGAGTCCAGTCACGCTCAAGGCTCTTGCATTTGGTTATGTGAATAAGTCATCCCCTGGCGGATTCAAATGCGTCCACTTGCACCGAAGAAGTCAATCAAGCACACAGAACGCACCGATCGCAGCCAATTAAGGGATGGATAGGCCTCACTGCTACAGAACCCGTGGTAGAATCCGATGATTATGAACATCTCGAGGAATCAAACTCTAGGCCGTGCTCGTCCTCCTTGTACAACTGTTGTTTCCTCAATTAATCTCGTTTCCTCGTTTGCAGAGCGTTTGAGAGTTTTAGTCAATTTGAGAATCCTTCAATCTTCAGCTGGAAATCGTGCCATCGTGAGGAAATTGTTGCTTTGTTTTTAGGGAAATCAATCCAGATCGCTTCTTCTGCAACTTTGTCTTTTCTCTCCTATACATTTGTCCTAGTTGTGCACCTGAAACTTTCATTCTCTTCGATTAACTCAATAACCTTCGAGTCTCAAGTCGTCCTCTTCAATGCTACAAGCTTATGACGATTCATGTGAAATAGTGCCTCTTTAGGGGTTCGTCTTCACCTCGAACTCTGCACACGATTAGTAGATTGACCACGATAATTGCTCGGTAGGACGATTTGCAGACATTGAGGAGGTCCAGTACATCGGGTTTTTCTCACTCGTGTCGCTTACATAGAGAAATCTATCCATCTCCAGATCCATAATCCTTCAAAGCTTCTTGCAGTATGAAGGCTGCGGCACAAGTTGGCTCTACAGCAAAAACCTCTGCCTAACCATTAGCCGGTGCTTACTGACGGAAAGTCTTGCTTTTGTTTTGTTAGACATGTTTTCGACACGAGATCTCTTAATCAAGCGCAGAGTGTGATTGATGTCGTGCTGACTGGGGATTGTGGTTTCATGAAGGCGGGCAAGTCCTCAGTCTTTCGGAAGATGTTCGATATCGATATGAAGGAGAAGGAGAGCGGCACAGTGCAAGTCGACGATGCAGTGGCTCCTGTGCTGAGGTCCGTGGTGAATTATTGCTACACTGCAGATATTCTGTTCACGGAAGAGGCACCGGCGGAGGAAGTGCTGAAGCTTGCCCACAAATATGACATCAACGAGTTGAAGGCAGTTTGCGAGAGCGAGCTTTCCAGAGGTATCAACAACGAGAACCTGTGCAATAGATTAAGACTTGCACACATATATGATGCCAAGAAGCTGGATGCAGTGGCAGCCAGGTTCTTCAAGGAAAATTTCGATGATGTGTACACCAGAGTTGTAGAGAGATTATGTTAAGATAATCAGATGTAGTTTATAACAGAATGTCTCGGTTTGGACCAGATGTTTTCATGGTTAACAGTCTCGGACGTTATATTTGTATTTTTGTTTATCAGTCAAATACTACTTTAAAACATCTTCAGTCATCAAACACCTTCGTTTTCAAGCCGAAGAAAGTTTCTTCTTGGAGATTTTCAGTGATGGTTCAAGTCAATGGATTTAGAGATGATGGGTAATGGTTGCCTCTACCTATGTGCTTTGTAGCCAATAAATTGTTGATTCCTCTGAGATGTTTGATGAGAGCAACACATTCGTGTTCCCTTCAGGCCTGACTATCCATGGCATGTATGTCATCTACGTCCCTGCAATGAATCGTGACAGCCTTGTTCTGAGCAGGACGAATACTGGAGGTATGATGTTTTTAAGAAGTGTTCTCCATCACCAAATTTGATGACTTCAAGATGATCGAGATACTTGTCTAGTACCTTTAAAGTCCGCGAAGCAAGCATTGTTTATACAGTTACAAGCTTTCAAAGCAAATGCTCGTTTTCTCCAGCTCAAATTCAATAGTTCGTTAAAAGCTTACATCTTTTGAATAGCTCTACGACTGGGTCGAAGAATGAGAAGGTAATGTATCTGCAGGCTCGAGAGCATTGTGCAAAACCAAAATCATCTCTATACGTCTCAAAAGCTCTGGCTGAACGCAAGGGCGGTTGAGGAGTGTGTGAACGTAGAATACAATGTTCATGTTAAATATGGTACACATCGGTGCATGATTCCAATCTATCTCCACGCGAGTTTTCCTACACACGACAGTCAAAGTAAAGTAATAAGTTACATCGATTTATAATGTTGAAAGCTCGGCCATATGAAGATTGCACTTGTGAAGAGAGATGAATATGGCGGTACCTTTGCAAATGTTGTGAAATGGTGAAGGCTATGTGACCAACAATGGTGAAGTCTATTTATAGTGAACTTCTTCCCTTAGAGAGATGAATGTCTCTATACGTCTAAAACCATAATTGTCTCTATACATCTAAAACTCTATGAAAATGTAAAAGCGGTTGATGAGTATGTAAACGTAAAATTAAATGTGCAATCTGTGAACAATTAAAATTAAATATAAAAAATATTAAATCGATGAAGACAAATGTTTCACGTTGAAAGCTGTCCGGGGCATTAGTAAGAAAAATCAATCTTTAGGTTAGTGGATGTACCTCTACATCCGCCGTGATTGAAGTATATTTGATAGTTTACAATTTAATTGTTTGGCTCAGTCAGTTTATAATTTTAAATTATTCCCTATTTGGGCATACATCAAAGTGCATCTAGGTGTTTTATAATCTTTCTGAGAGATACACACAAATGGAGATATCTACATAAATTATTTGTGTGTAAGATAAAATGCTTCTTTTGTAAAAAATGTGATGAACGATTTGTGTGAGACGCAGTGTGCAACTCTATTTCGAAAAAAGTATTGTTTATCTACCTTAATTTATCTACATAAAAATAATGTAAGGAACACATTGTGATAACTTCATATTGTACCGTTTCAGATTTCATACCGTAAATTGAATTCTCGAGTCCAGACTTTCAGATCGATGAAGTTTGAAATTATGTTCCAATATATATAAAATACATCGAGAACAATTGAGGTGGAAGGGAGGTAAAATATGATGAAAGATGTACGAATGACGACAAATCCTGTTCCTGCAAGGTCATATCCCCAAAACTTCGAGAGATTTGCTTGATGGGACCCATGCGGAAAGTAATTTGCTTGATGGAACCCTCAGGTTTAGTTTTACCCGATGGGACCCCAACGACTGTGTGCCGTCGCCAGTTCTTGTAACTATGATTGATAGTTACAATGTGGGAATTACAATCAGATATCAATCCCTGATTATAATTTTTGGTGGATTATCACGAGTACAAAGATCGATTTTGCCCGAAGTGCAATATGTTGTGCTTCAATTCTCCCAATCGCACCGATTCGCGGATTTCTCTGCTGCCCTCCCGCCTGCACCCTACTTCCTTAACCCTGTGAATGCGACCAGGAGCTCGTACCGGAAAGTGGTCTGAGCTCAAGTCTCGCGGTCACACATTTGTGGTGAACAAATAAACTCTGGATGAGCATTTCTTTGCTCGTCAACGGGGGAGTGGCCGGATACAGAATGACAAAATAAAAACAAGTGAGTGTGATGGAAGGCGAAGTCCACTCCACTGGTTGACTCGTTGCACTCTCTCTAAAACTCAAGTTGTAATTAGAACATGAGTGACAGTGTATCGTTCATGGGGTACCATCGGGTAAAACGAAACCTGAAGGGTACTCTTAAGCAAATTACTTTACGCAAAGGTCCCATCAAGCAAATCTGGCCCAAAACTTCCGATCCCATGATTTCCGCAAACCACACAGGTATACAAAAATTAAGCTTGTACACTAATCTTCAGTCGAACACTAAGATATTATTTGTGTTCGGTGAAGTTCTAATTAAAATTTTACTTCTTACCCCCTTTACTATGTCTGCAACCTCCGGGCTGACTCTCACTGAGGTTTACCTCAGATGGCTTTTTGGTAGCTCATCATGATTCTAGAAGACTAGGATTCCGCATCATACTCATAACCTAAACACCCTCTCACACAATCTCTCAAGGTATCACTCCAACTCATACACTCATCGACACTCTAAGGTACTGAAAATTTGTCACTCTTTCATATATGAAACAAGTCTTTACATATGAACTCTCCAAACTTGCTTGAGAGGCTCTTCCCTACCTCTCTATATATACTACTTGAGAATTTACCATAGTAACAAATGGTAATTTCTATCTAACTTACTTTTACGAAGATAAACCATAGTAAGGTTGACTAGTTATCAATATGTGGCAACATGCCATTGGCCCCCTAAACCTTCTAGATGTTTACTAATCCCTAGATTGAGGTGGCGACATGCCATTTGTGCCTTTCCAACTTCTAGAACTTCCACTTTCCACTAAGTCAACATAAGACTTAGTCTAACCAATGGAATACTCCTTACTTTAGTCAAACCAATCAAAACTAAACATGAAGTTCAAAAGTCTTTTCTCTTGAAATCTAGACTTTTGTACAAGACAAAATAGAAGTGCTCACTCAAATCTTCTAGAACTTCTCTAGTTATTCCGCCAAGTATAGACAATATAGCTAAACTAGCTAGACTTAGTCATAACTAGCTAGATTTAGTCATAACTATCCTAACCATGATTAATCCATTGGCCAATTCTAGTTTATTTCACACATGCAATATCTGGTCTTACATTTACCCCCGGACCAAGATTTCACTACGCCCTCGGAGTGAAAGAATCTGATCTTCGATGGAATAATTTCAACTTGTCGTGGTTGACTCGATCGAAGTGACGTCCTCCTAACTCATTGATATCATAAGTAAAGTTTCTCCACACCTTCTCAACTATGAAAGGTCCAAAATACTTAGGAAGAAACTTTTTCCTAGCTCTCTTGTATCTAATTGCATCAAAGAGCATCACCCAATCACCTTCCTTGAATGGCTTGAAGTTCTGGTTTCCACTTCGTTTGTCGTGATACTTCTTCTGCAACTGTTGAGCCCGCTCCACTTGTACCATGGCTAGTGCTCGAACTTCCTCCAACTCCATCAATTGTTGTTGGCGAGACTTGATGGCTTCTGCTCCATTTGATTTCTTCAACCGTTGTTGGATTGTCATGAAAGTAGTCAAGTCAAATTGTATTGGGAGCTTTGACTCAACTCCATACACCATCCGAAAAGGTGAATATCCGGTAGATGTTTTCCAAGTCGTTCGATACTCCCACAAGATAGCATGCAACCTCTTGTTCCAGTTTTGCTTGCTCCCGTCCATGTCTGCATCCTTGGCCAACATCATACAAAGAGTGTAGTTGGTCTGCTCCGCCAACCCATTAGCATTGGGTTTGTAGGAAGTAGTCACTCTAGACTTGATGGAAAAATGATCTAACATTGCTTGGATCATACTTCCCACAAACTCTCCTCCTCTATCCGACACTAACTCCAAAGGACAACCAAATTTGGTTATGATTCTCTCATACAAAAACCTACCAACCTCCTTCTCATTAGTATATTTTAGTGGTCTTGCCTCTACCCACTTGGTAAGATAATCTGTAGCTATCACAATGAACTTATTTCCACGAGGAGTAAGATTTAAAGGACCTACAAAATCTATCCCCCATTTTTCAAAAGGACCTAACATTGGAACTGAAATCAAAGGAGGGGTTTTCATGGACTTTTTAGCAAAAGCTTGACACACATCACAACTCTTGCAAAATTCCACACAATCTTTGAAAATACCCTTCCAATGATATCCAGCATCAAGGATCTTGAAGGCTGTTACCTTCCCCGCAAAATGTCCTCCACACACAGCACCTTCGTGAAACTCCTTCATGAGTTGCAATGCTTCGCCTCTTCCAACAGCTCGTCGTAGCAGACCGTCATCAAGGAGCTGACGGTCTGCTCCTTGATGAAATAACACCTTCTCAATGATCATATAGGGTTGACATCTTTTTACCAATGCATTCCTTTCTCTTGAATGCATACCTTGAGGAAATTCTCCTTTGGAAATGAACTCCCAAATCTCCTTGTACTCCTCTGGTACCAATTTCACCGTGTCCATGACCAACAAATCTTCGTCCGGGAAAGTGTCATCCACAGATTGATCTCCTCCCTCATCATAAGCTCTTGACAACAAATCCGCATTAGCATGCTTCTTTCCCGGTCGATCCTCAATGGTATAATCAAATCCCCCTAGTAGTAGTTTCCATCTAGCTATCCTCCCCTCAGCATTAGGCTTGTTGAAAATTTATTTCAAGGCCTTATGATCAGTCACTATAGTGAATTTTCCACCCAAAAGATAGTGTCGAAACTTCTTAAGTGAAAAGATGACAGCTAAAGCCTCCCTTTCGGTCACTGAATAATTCTTCTCTGCTTGTACCATCTGTCTACTAGCATAGGCAATTGGATGATCATGCTTTTCATCATCAAATTGACTCAAGGTGTATCCTACAGCAATATTTGATGCATCTGTATACAGAAGAAAAGGTTTACCCCAATCAGGTTTC